AAAAAATGCACAATCCATGTAAAACCCTGTGATTTTTAAAAAGTAACAAAAAAATGCACAATCCATGTAAAACCCTGTGATCCTGACCTCCTTCGAATTTCTCTCCACCTTGGAATCACTGGGTTGGGAAGGGACTGGGAAGATTATTCACATCATGGCGAAATCCAGGCTTTAGTCAATAGAACCAGGTGGACATTGATACAGAAAGCAGGATGGGGCAGGGAAATGTGCACCACGCTTGGAATCACACATTCGGTCACTGGCTGTGTGACCGTGCATAGTCATTTGAGTCTCAGCCCTTCATCTGTAAAAACTAAAACAGGGACAATAATAATTTTGTCATCATAGACTATTGCAAGGATCAAAAGAGATTATTACACATAGTAACAAACAATATGTATTGTGTATTGTATTGAGATATATATATATATTAATTATAATGTGCAAAATCCTCCAGTCTCCCTCAGCAGCTTAATCCAAAGACAACTTCACCTTGTAGTCAGAAGTTTTCTTTATGTCTTTTTGAAATACTTTATTCTAAGATTTGAATTAATCCAGTGGTGTAGTAATAAGAAGGTAGCTTTGTATAATTTCTTGATGCCCCAATGTGTGAAGAAAGAGCATTTCATTTGTGGCAAGTCTCCCTGTGCTTTTCTTACCATCCTTACCAGTCTTCACCATCCTCATCACTCTTGGGCATCCTAGACTTCCTATCAAAGTAAAGATATCAAGCCCTGAACCCTGAAAGGTGAGATAATATTACTTCAGTTCGCCAAATACCACTCACTACCATAGGAATAAACTCCTTAATTCAGAGGAATCAATCTCTAATGACAGAATTTAAGCCAATAAGATACAATGTTTATTAAGCCCACATTTTTGTTATGTCTCTCTATAGTCCTCTTCCTTTTCAAGTTTATATTTTGCCTATTTAAACTTTCAATTATAAACATGATTAAAATTTCTAGTGTGCAGTAGTTTTTATAGCATATAGCTAAATAGTGGAAGGAAATTATTTGATTGACTTCACTCTCCCCCCCGACCTGCCCCGCAAAGCCCAGAAAGCTGCTGATTGCCTGCACTGTTTTGTTGTTGTTGTTTGTGTGTTGTTGTTTTTTTGTGAGATAGAGGTTGTAAAAATCCCAAGAAGAAGGAATGTGAAACTTTTCTGCTCATCTAAAATGCACCTCACCCAAAGAGAATCAAGTTGGAAGAGGGTGTGGCATGGTGGACTCTAACCTTTGAGTCATACATACCCTCCACTCCAAATTTTTAAAAGGTCACCCCTAGTTTATATGTACTGTTGTCATTGGTTGACATCTCAAAGCAACCATTTAATGGAAGTCCATGTGGTCAAACTTTATTTAAATCCAATTGCAAGTAAATGTGTTATTTTCATTTGTTTCTGATTTTCTCTTCAGTAAAAATTTTTGTAACAAGTGTAAATAAGAGTATATCAACAGCGTCATTAACAATTTTGGTCAGATAATTCTTTGTTGTGGGTTGTGACCTGCACATTCTGAGATGTTTAGCAGCATCCCTAGCCTCTATGTACCAGAAGCTCATGGAACCTCTGTAGGTAGCACAGTATAAACTATCTCCAGACATTGCTAAACTTCTCCTGGGATGCAAACATCTCCGCTGTTGAAAAGCACTGGTCTAAAGGAATACATTAGTAGAAATACTTGTGTCAATATGTCACTTTCAATGTGAAGTTCCTTTGCAGGAGTATTTTAAAGCTTTTGTCAATTTAGAGAAGAGATATTAGTTAAAGTGGGATATTGTAATCAGTAGATAACACTTAGCAGACAATGATAAATTGCAGTATTTAACTGTGGGCTGTAAACAAATAAATTAGGGCACCACTAGTAATTCCTCTGCCTTATGGAACTCCTGCTCTTACCTCAGAGTGAGGGCTACCTATGTGAGGATATCAGAGATAACTCATCTCAGGGTCTGAAGAGTGGGGGTACTTATACACCTCTTCCTCCAGGCATCTTATAAAGGCTGCTTCTGGCCTACAGGGAGGCTGTTAATTCTTTAGCACTTCTGGTTTGTTATGTAGTGGGGTGGGGTGAGAACTGGGCTCTGCTCAATTATTCATAAAGTTGGAATTTTAGCTAGCTTTGTTCGAAAATAGTAAGGATGGTGGGAATATGGGCAGGGTGACAATGGTGTCTGCTATAATCCTACTGTCAGACTAAAGGACTTGCATGAGAGAGTTTGAAGATGAATAAGGACCAAGAGACAAGCAAAAGAGTAGCATAAATGGTCACAGACTAAACATCCTAAGTGGAAGAATTGCTTAAAAGCAGGATGACACTCATCTTCTGAGCCTAGAAGGATGGCTGCAAATATAGATAGGTTTATGGCTTCTTTGTTTTCTTTGTAACCTCTGAAAGAAGGTCATCCCTAGAAAGTGATGATCTCTAGTTTCTTAGGAAAGCAAAGTCTGTAACAGTCATAAGGAAAATGGGAGACAAGTAGCATTTAAGAGCTTAACTGAGATAAAAATCCAAAAAATGTGTGGTGACACCAATTCTGTGGGCTGGTGGGTCATCAACAGTACTCAGTAGATGTAATACCGGGGGAGGAAGTGAAAATTGCAAATTCATCCATTGATTGGATTAATGTGTACTGAATGATAAATATGCCTCAGGCTCTGCGTGCTGCAGAAATAAAACAGACAAACTTTAAATAGGCATAATTTTATGATTTGTAGATCTTACATTCTGGAGGGGAAAAATAAATAAGATCAATGAATAAAATCTATAATAATAAAAGGGTAATATGCTAATTGGACCAGAAATCCTTCCTTCCGGACAAAGCCACAGCAGGCAGGGGCCACAGCAGAGGCAGCAGAAGCCCTTGGCTTCGGTGGTGGGTGGGGGTCGGGGCCAGGGCCCTTGCACGAATTTCGTGCATTGGGCCTCTAGTTATAGTATATTAGTCATAAGCACAGAGAATGGGGATAGGGAGTGCTGGAGCTGGAGAGGGGTGTTGTTGTAGATAGGGAATATAGGCATGACCTCTCTGAGAAGGTGTAGTTTAAAATAACACTTGAAAGAGTGAGATATTGAACCATGTGGATATCTGGGATGCGTGTTCCAGGCATAGGGCACAGCAAGCGCAAAGGTCTTAAGACAGGCATGTGCTGACGTGTTGAGGAATGGAAAGAAGACTACTGGTGATATGGGTAAGGGCTAAAGTGGTTTAAATTAAGGTCAGGGAGATAACAAGGTTGGAGGTCCACTTTGTATAAGGTCTTGTGGCCCATAGCTTTTAGGTTGACTCAGTGCTAGGTAAATTTGAGGGAAGATGAGGTGTGAGGAGTAGGGAGAGAATGGACTGAGAATGTTGGTGAAAACATATTTTAAATGACCATTGAGGCAGGAAGAAAAACGGTTCAAGAATAAACAGATATTTGGGAGCCTTATCAAGAAAGGGAAGAGAATCAGGAATGAATGAAAGCATAGAAGGCAAAGGAGGAAAACATTTCGAGGTGGACAATGCACTTACTAATTATAACTAACAGTTATCTAGTATGCGGGATATGCTGTAAGTGCTGTGTAAATGATTTCATTTTAACTTCATTCACCTGATGTGGTAATAAATGTATTCTCCAAATTTTGTAGATCAGAAAATTGAGGCCTAGAGTGACTGAGCCACTTTCCAGTGGTAAAATGAGGATTTGAACTCCATTAGTCTAATTTAGGCTCCTGTTCTTAACCAGTTGTTATGCAGACTAAGTGCTGCACAAGAGCCATGTATGATAAAGATGGACACATGCTTATGGGAACTGGGTGTTGAGAGGTCATTGGTGAGTGTAGGTGGGGATGTGAACAGCACTTTGCTGTAGTTTAGTGATTCCCAGTGCATGACAAGGGAGTGGAGGCAACAGCTTTTGGAGAGACAGGGCGACTATGGAAAGTGACACCAAGATGATATAAAATTCAAACAACAAAAAAAGATAAAAAAGGAAAGTGCCAGAAGAAAGTACAGCAATTAAGATAAAAGTGCGAGTCCAATAATTTATGAAACAAAGTCAGGGAACAAGTTTGAAGGGTTGGAATTATGAATTAGCCTTGAAGGGGAAAACCCTGGTTTTATAGGAAAATAACTGAGGACAGGGAAGCAAATTGTGAATCCCAAGTCATAAAGCCCATTAAACAGTGGCTCGGGGACCAGAGTCCAAGTTTTCTGATTGTCAAGACAAGCCCTTTCCACTAGACCATCCAACCACTCTTGCTGAATCATCGTCTGCTGGTTACTTATCCCCAATCCAAAGGGAGTTATTGTAGTTAATGAATAAATGCAGAGTAGCAAAACCCACTGTACATGAGCAGCTCTACAGGAGCACTAAGGACATCTTGACCTTTGAGTTTTCTTCACAATTCCCTCCCCCTGCAGCTCCTTAGGACAGAGTACTGACTTTCCGTAACTATAACTGCCTTCCAGATACTGCAGGTTCCCATATTGATGCCAAGTAGGGACTCCAGTGGAGAGAACTGTCACCCTCAGGGAATTTCTAGCTGAATTAGGCTCCACTAAGCCTTGAAATCAAAATGTTTCTGGTAGGTAAATGGAGCACAGATGGGAAATCAAACCAGTGTGTGACTGGGCATGATTTAGAGCAACTGTTATTGATATGACAGATCCTAGCGGGCAACCTCATGAGAGCCTGAATTTTCATTGCAATGCACGTAGGTAAAATGAATAATTGTGTTTTTGACTTTTGAAATTTTCTACACCTTGACAGTGGTTATTACAGCCATAATTTGGGCCATGAATATTCTAGAGAGGTCTTTGATTTAGAAGTTTAGCTTTTTTGGAAAACAAGCAATAGTTAATATTTCATCTATGTATTTATTTTTTTGGTGATGAACATTTTTTACATGATATGAAATATAAATTTTTAACTTTAGAGGAATTACAATGGTCTGTTTCTAACACATTATCTTGGGTAAACATTTAAATTCTTGATTAATGTTTAACTACAAGAAGTATACTCAGTTCAAGTGAAGGATCAGTATCAGGATTCAGGCTGAGTTGTCTTTATGAGAATTCAGGCTCCAAGGAGAAACCCCAAGAATTTATATACTGGATATAACAGAAAGTGGGAGCCATACCTGACCTGTGGAGAATGTGGACCGGGTGTAGGATCTTAATCTTCTCTTCTCTTCTTACAGAAATTTGGATGGAGAAACAGTACGTATCTCAAAGACAAGTGGACCCAGGAGCAGATTTCACAAGGAATCACACCGTCTTGGAAGGTACTCGATTCAAAAGAGCCATTTTCAAAGGGCAGTACTGTAGAAGTTTTGGTTGTTGTGAAGACAGAGATGACGACTGTGTCACTCAGTTCTATGAGGCGAATGCACTGTGTTACTGTGATAAATTCTGTGAAAGGGACACTTCTGATTGCTGTCCTGATTACAAGTCATTTTGCCATGAAGAGAAAGAATGGCCTCCTCACACAAAGCCTTGGTATCCAGAAGGTAGGCTTTGGTAATATGTTTAAGCATTCTACTAGTTCGTAACAAGATCTGTCAAACTGTATCTTTCTCTTCTCCTCGTTCCTTCCTTCCCTCCCTTCTTTCCTTCTTTAAGATAAAATAGAAATGAATATTGTGATCACCAGAATAAGTTTCTTTGGATTGTTAAAATGTTTTGGTTTATATGTGGGGCATATGAACCATACTAACACCTTCAAGAAAGTTTCTGGTGTGATGGTCATGAATGCTAGTCTGATTCCTGTTTGAACACACATTCAACTTATATAAGAGTTATTACAAACTATTTTTTCTTTCTTTGTAAAATGTATTTTCAACAGGACTCTCAAGATTTCTTGAAGGTAATCTCTTAGAGAATCTCATGAAAGGCACATAATCATCTGCAGATTCATGTACTATTTTACTTACTATTTTATGGGATTAATGGACCTCCTACCATTAGAATCAGTGGTATTTCATTGCCTTTAAAACCATTAAAAAAGCAAAATAAAGTTAGCCACCCACACTTCCTAATACCAAGTAGATTGTTCATGTATATTTTTGTTTTGTCTTGTCAATCTGGGACTTTTAAACTATTAAAAACAAATGAAGGTTTCATATAAGGTAATTGTAACAGTCTAAGATTGAATGGATAAATATACATAAATCATAATGAGAATGATGGTATTTGCTCTGTTGGTCTAATTATAAGAGAATATCTATAGATTTTGAACAACCAATATATTCAAAGTTTGCAACAAAATCCAAAAAGTCTACTGTGAGACATATATGAAGTGCTCTTTCTCTGTCACTCATCTTGTCAGGTCTCAGCTGGAATGCAGGTTTAATCAGAATTCTGTCCTATTACTATGAATGGTTATGGTGGCTAGAAATTAGTTAGAAGAAAATGTAGTATCAACTAGAATTTGGTATCCTTTAAAACCCCTTCCCCGGCAGAAACGTGTATACTCGTTTTCACAAAATGTTCTTTTTCAGTCGTCGACGAGTATACTAAGAAAATATGGTAAAAAAATATGGTTTATAGGAAGACGAGTTACAAACTGTTTTCATAACCAGCATCAAAAATACTATATAGAACCAAAATAAAAAAATTAGTCTGAAAAAGAAACGTTTTTAACAAAAAAACTGTTGGGGAAGGGGTTAAAATCAAGATGCTGTGGGCTTCACTCTCCATGTTATGTTGTTTCTAAAAATTGAGGAAATACTCCTTAAAAAACATCTGCATTATGTTAAAATTTCCACAGAATTGTCATTTATCCCAAGCCTTTGCCTTTATCAGCAAACAGTTCAGCAAACATTTATCTAACCCTAAAAAGTGGCAGATACTCTACTAGGAATAGGAGACTAAGTTATACATCAAAAATTATTCATTGAATGTCCTCACTGTGCCAGCAATGGCACTTAGTTCTGGGGCAACAATGGGGAAGAAAAAAGGCAAGATCTTATTCTCGTTGAAGTATCAGTCAAGTTGGGGTGTGTGTGTATAAACTATTTAACAAAGTCACTTCCCTATTGCAAGTAGTAATAATGTCTCTGAAGGAAACAGAGTGCTGTGAGAATGTATATCAGAATATAATATATAAAATTATATGTACATTTAGCCTGTGGGAGGGGGCAACAAAGGAAGACATTTAAGTTGAGACTCAAGGAGTGAGGAGAAGGGATCTGACCCAAAGATCTGAGGGCTATTTCAGATCTGAGACTGAAGAGCTTTGTTCAGGAACTGAAAGGAGACCATAATTTCTGGGAAGTAATGATTACTGAAGGGTTGAGAGTGACATGAAATGGGGTTAGAGAGGTGAGTTGAGGTCAGATTATGATAGCATTTATAGGTCATATTAAGGATTTAAGAATTTATTCTGTTCTGAGAGAACTTAGGGTAAGATGTTAAATAGGAATAGGCTTGGCTTCATGGGTGCTGTGCATATATATATATATATATATATATATTTACTGCAGTACTTTTGAGCTTTTCTTATTTGGGACATAGAGACTCTTTAGAAAAGTAATTGCAACTTCTTCAACGTTCATTTTTGCTTGAGAGCTAGAATTTTGCTAAGACTTTAATTTAAGATCATGTTTTAGGTAGAATTTATGTAGGTATAGTTTTTATAGCATTCATTATGGAGGGAAGCAATTAATCACTTTATTTAGTAGCAAAAAATTCACATTAGACTATAATTGCTCTCATGAAGGTAATTTTTTTCTTTTGTTTTATCTTGCTTATGGAAGTAACTGGTTGAAAGAAAATACTCCTACACAATATTAAAAAATTGTGCAAAATTAACTAAAATGAAAAGGCAATGGTATATTATTTATATTATTTTGCATGTATACAGTCACTTCCCTCTGAGATGTGCTGTTAATTTGCTGATCTATTAAATATTGTTTTTCAGTTATCTAGTAAAATGGCATTGTCTAGTTCTTTGTACCATACCTATCCCAGGAGCTCTTTTTAAACCAGTGACTTAAAACTATGTACATTGTCTTGAGAGTTTTTTTTAAAAAATCACATTGCTTTTGTATAAACTGGAAGTAGGGCATATCCATAAATATCTTCCTTCTGTGTTTTTTTCCTCATCTCTGATGGTAACTTCCAGTAATTGGAGAATTTCAAATGTCAACTACAGAAAACAAGTGATAGAGTTTGGAGTAGAACCAGAGTGGATTTTGCAGACAGAATCTTTTGGTGTAGCAGGTCTTCAGGAAAGGGTCTAGTATACCATCTGTTGTGAACAGACCGAAGCTAATTTGATTACACCCAACTCATGTTCACGTTGGTAAAAAAAATGTGTGTAAGTCACTGACACATTTGAATTGGATGAGGGTTATTTACTCCTTCACAACCTCCTTAACTACATTATAATGAAGAAAAGTCACAGATGAAATGCTGTCATACATACTGATATTTACAAAAATATACATTTTTTTGTTGTTAATGCTCATTGGAGAATATTTTTCCCCCATGGATTTTTAGAGAGAGTAGAAGGAAGGGTGTGTGTGAGAGAGAAAGAGAGAAACATTGATGTGAGCGATAGACATGGATTGGTTGCCTCCTGCACTCACCCTGACCAACCACCAATGACACTCTAACGCTGAGACTAACTGGCTAGGGCACAAAAATATATGTTGGTAAGGAGACATAAATCAATTGATACAACCTCTGTAAGCTACATGAGTTGCTGTCCTTTAAGATGTTCTGACATCTACCTTGCATGAAAATTGGCTGGACATGTGATAATATTACAGAGGTAGGTCTATGTTACCCTTACAGTGGGTGTCAGGGAATGAGAAATCCTACCAGTAGCTGGAAACAACCTTTTAGAGATCAATTCCAGAGAACCAGGTCCAAGAGTACAGGCTTTTGACCTTGTGAGATACATATAAATTATGACTTATAAGAGTAGAATGTAACTTTAATATATTTTATGTAATCTATATAAATTGAATGCTATTAATTTAACCAGTAAGAGCTGATTATTTATATCCATTATGCTGATTAACGAGCCACTAGTTTTACCAATGAAAGCCCATTTCTGACATTCATTATACTGACGCTCTAGTATTCATCAAAAGATGGGTAATGGAGGCACTTGTAGCAGCTGCCCTGGAATCGGGCTTTCAGAATGACCACTGCTGGGGTGTGGAATCCCGATTAGAGCAGTAACTGCCTTCCCTAATGTGAAGTTTAGACCTGCACAGACATTATAACACATTATGATGAAGTATTTCAAAATAGATTACAGACATCTTATTGTCATCTTTTCTCAAGTTAATAGACCAACTGTCTCACTCTCCAAATATTTTATATTAGTGACTGTTAAAGTTGCAAAGCTCCCTTAATTTCAGTAATCATTACCTTTTGGGTCAAGATGCTATATGTGTAACCAATTCAATTAACTCACTATGTGGTGTTTCATACATATTTCACTGTGAAAATAATGCCACCAGGAATTGTCTTATCTTTCCATCATCATAATTTCCAACATACTTTCATCTGGGTTACTGCTCACCTTGAGTTGGTTTCTCCTCTTGACCTCTGAATCCCATACTCTAGGGTTTTCAAGATCTTCACCCTTGCAATTGTCTCTCTCCCATCCTCCCCCTCCTTCTCTATATTTCTCCCTTCTGTCCCCCCCTCTCTAACAAAGCATTTTCCCCCTTCCATCCTTATCAATTATCAACTTAAAAAATATGTCTTGCCCTAAAATATGGCTCAGTGGATAGAGTGTCGGCCTGCGGACTGAAGGGTCCCAGGTTCAATTCTGGTCAAGGACACATACCTTTGTTGCGGGTACATCCCCAGTAGGGAGTGTGCAGGAGGCAGCTGATCGATGTTTCTCTCTCATCAATGTTTCTAACTCTCTATCCCTCTCCCTTTCTCTCTGTAAAAAAAAAAAATCAATAAAATATATTTAAAAAAATATGGCTTTGTATCTCCCAACTTTGTAAAAAAACACACCAAAAAACCCTTTCATTCCATTTCCTTAATCAGCTACTCTCCCATTTCCTTTTTCCTTTAATGGCAAAATAAATGAAACAATAACAACAACAACAGCAACAACAACAAACAAAACATTTTGCTTCCTGACTTCTAAGTCTCTTATCAAGCCTTTCCTACAAGATTTCATTTCCTGCTACTTCAATGAAACCTCTCTTGGCAAGGTTATTGACCCCTTTCAGATTACTAAATGCAATATTCAGATGTCTAGTATCATTTTCTTGACCTCCTCACACTATGCTACACAGTTGACCACTTATGCTTTTATGAAATACTTTCTTCTCTTGCTTTCCAAGTTTCAACTCTCCTGAATTTGCTACCTCCTCATAGGCCACTCCTTCCCAGTTTCCTTTTCTGAATGTGTGTTGGCTGGAGTGTTTAATCAGTTCTGGACCTCTTTCTCTTACCTATATACAATCTTTCAAATGGGCTCTTAGTTAATCTTAAGGCTTTAAAAATATGGATGTTGTTGTATCTCATGCTTCAGTCTCGACTGTACTCTGCATTTTCATGAACTACTCGACATTCTCCAATAGGATGTCTAACTTTGATTTAATTCAAACCTAAAACCGGCAAAGCAGAACTCTGATTTCTTGCTATAAGCCTGTTCCTTACTTCAGTAACAGCTTCACGTCCCTGTCTTGCTGAAGCCAAAATCCTAGTGGAACATCCTTGATTCCTCTTTTTCATCATTCCCCAAACTCAATCCATGTCCCATTTGCTTTACCTCCAAATTATGCCCCTTTACTTCTCTCCATTCTACTGTCATGCAAATCCTTCCATTTCTGGGAACCCAACCTCAGCCAGCACAAGGGAGTAAGATACACGGAGCCATTTTGGGTGGGGTCTTAGAAGTCACTGTAAAAATTTGGCTTTATTCTAAATTGATGGAGTACAGGTCAGAGAAGGGACAGTCTTTTCCCCTTAGGACCTTTATGAGTTCTGTTCCCTTTTTCTACGTAACTGGTATGAGAGACAAGCAAGATTCCTGGGGGATGGTTAAAGATCAGCTGTAATTTAACCACCCTCTCTCCCTATAAAACTTATCAGAGAAGTACTCCCCTTGGCTTTGAATTAATGTGAATCACTGCATGAATTTTCTGTTGCTCCTAGATAATAGAAAGTTTTAGGATCCTTTTAAATTACAAACATAGTGTACATTCATGTATTAAAAGTGTGTGATCATGGGTAATAATTAAAACTTTGAATTTGATTTAAACTTGAATATTTATCCTCTTCTTTGCTATATCAAGAAACCAGGACAGAAGTGATTTCCTTCCCTTTCCCTATATTATGCAATGTTAAAAATCCATGAGAAAGAAGTGAATAGATGTCTTTACATAGAGATTTTAGATTCATTCCGTAAGCAAAATATTGGACTGTGAAAACACAATATATGCTGACAAGGGGCAGTTGTATAGTTTCCTACAAAAATATTTTTTGAAAAAAAAATTAGGGGATAGTTAATTCCATAAGTGGCTTTGGTGATATTGTGGTTGGTAGTTACACCAGACCTTAAAATATTTTCTAAACATTATTTTCCCCTAAGATTGAATGACTAAAAAGTTAAAATTTATTTTGTTTAATCAGGGGCCATTGATGCGATCTATTAATTACATGTTTCTGTCAAAAAAGTTTTCATGTGACGAATTAGTTGATTTTGCTGCTTTGCTAAGAAAGCATGAATTTTAAATTTGTATAAATTACTAGAGGCCTGGTGCACAAAATTCATGCACAGGTAAGGTCCCTAGGCCTGGCCAGCGATCAGGGCTGATCTGTGGGGCAACCAGTGAGGTGATTGGGGGCCTCCACTGGCCGCTGCCTTGGCCAGCCTGGTGCCACCCATCTGCCAGCCCTGACCCCTGATCGCCTTGCTGCCGCCAGTTGCCTCCCTTTGCAGAGTGACTGGTGGGGCAATAGGAGGGCCCCTGCTGGCAACTGCCTTGGCTGGCCTGGGGCCTGTGGGCTGGGGGCAGCTCCTGTGTTGAGTGTCTGCCCCTGGTGGTCAGTGCATGTCATAGAGACTGGCCAGGCCT